CCGGAGAGAAAGGTTTCAATGCCCTTGAGGCAAGGAAAACCAACATCCCCCCGCTAAGCATAAAACCTGGGTTGCTTGCTTACTACCTAAAAAAAAGAAAACCCTTGCAACCGTCAGTTGTCAAAAGGAAAAACTAAAAACCTCACCTGAGGATGGCTAATACGGCGGATGCTGGATTGATACATTGTCGTGCACTACAACTATCTGATTGTTTACCCAATCTCCATACAAACTCTGTCATAAGGTGTAGTCAACCTTCCTACAACTAAGAATATTCCCGAGGACTTACCTGGATATGCCTCCCATGACCTACTTTCTAATTACACTCACAGTAATTATTTCTTAGTTGAGCGACACGGTAAATAACAGTTCTCGAAAGAAACTTCCACCAGAGCGACTGGTCTAAATTATAATAAAGCCCGAAGCATTTATTCTCTTTTGACGTCATCCATTAAACTTGCTAGCTTTTACCACTAATTTCTCCATAGGGTTTAATCTGACTCCGATTTCTCTTAATAAGCTTTTCATCCGGCAGTCTAATCCAGTAAGTGTCATATCCTTCCAATGACTCAATAGCCCCCATTTCCTCGAAATGTTTATCATCCTTAGTGCGTATTTCTTTCCTGATCAGTACTCTCTGGCCTACTGGTAATTCCAGTTTCTCTGTTCTCCCGAACTCCCGCTTATACTTTGTAATAGAAGATTCTATTTTCTCGCGGTTCTTAACATCCATGGCGTGCAAAGGCGGCATCCCTATTGCTCGATGTATTGTAGCATTATATGCTCTAACTACCCGTGCTAACTTACGTCTAAGTGCACCCTTACTTCTATTAAGATTTTCTCTGAGGGTTCGAATCAATCTTTTAATTCGCCCTATCCCTTCGCGATAGTAAGGTGGCCTAAAGTGAATGTCGATTCCCTTAGAATCTAACCAATCCAACAATACGGAATTCCCAAACTCCTTTTCATTGTCTGCTATGATCTTCTTAAACGGAAATTCCTTGTATACTTCCATAACGAAATCCTTAATTTTGTCTGCCTGCTTTACTGCTACTTCCTTAGCAAAAGCCATCCTAGTATAATAGTCTATCATCACTATCACATACTTATTTGCATATTCCATCAAATCGATGCCCATCAGCTCTCCTGGCTCATCAGTATCAATATAAACATTATGCTTCATAAACTGATTGTCTCTCTCTAGACACACCCTACAAGATTCCAAAATCTTCCTTAGTTCCATACTAGTAACATTTATACCACGCATTGCCAAATCTATTCTAATGCTCTTACGGTGTCCTAATTCCTCATGAATTCTTGTTACTCTATCATAATCTGACTGTGTCAGTACTGATACACTGTACGCCCTTTGCTCTAACTTAGCAGGTACATGTAATTTTCTTGAAGGAACTTCATAAAGTCGTGAAAGACCATCTGGGATTATCATCTCTTCCCCCCTCTTATACTTCGGAGTAAAAGAAAAATTCTCTAAGGACTGCATCCATCGTGCAATTCTAGCATTTCCAAACTCTTCGCCCTTCTTCGTGAAGTAGGCCTCAATCGCCTTATGATCCGTAATAACATCGAAATGTTTTCCCAGTAAATACGACTTACATCTATCTGTAGCCCATACAATGGCTAATAGCTCTCTTTCAGTAATAGTATAGCGTTGCTGCTCAGGTTTCAACCTAGCCGAATAAAATCCAATGACATCCTCATCTTGTCTCAACACGGCACCCATACCTGTGTCCGATGTGTCTGTCTCCAGCGTATACTTCTTCTTTGGATCAGGGATTGTTGCAGCTATAATCTTAGCAATTGCTTCTCTAAGACTCTCAAAGGCTTGTTGATGTCTTTCTTCCCATATGAATTTCTTACCTTTCTTGGTGAATTCATTCAACGGTGCTTTCAAACTTGATAGATTATAGATATGTCTTCCCATATAGTTTATCTTACCAAGGAAACTCCGTACTTGCTTAACTGACTGTGGTCTAGGTATCTTCATGACTTCCGTAATCCTGGAGTCAATTGGTCTTAGCTTGTTCTCAGTCATAGTGTGGCCTAAGAATGAAATTTCTTCTTAAAATTATTAAACCCATCGAACTTTCTTTTCTTGGAATCATACTTTCCAAAATTGTCATTCCCACTACTATTATTGTTCTTCTTCCAACAATTCCTAGCTATATGTCCAATGGTACCACATTTCCTACAAGACATCTTTGAAGTATCCTTCTTATTCCTTAGCTCTTTCTTCTGGGAATCTTCCCCTGGTTTGCTAAACTCATCAATTCGCTGAGCTGCTCTGTATAAAGTCTTAAAACTTTTATTAAGCTCTTGAGAATGAGTTCTCCAAATGACCAAGAAACCTGTAGGATACTCTGTAAATTTTCTCAGGAATTCTGTCTCTACCTCCTCCCAAGTATAGTCTCCGTAAATAATGTAGGGCACGAACCTATCAACCCATTCTGCCCATGTTCCATTTCCTTTCCGTGGAGGATCCACAAGTGGCGACAATTGTTCGCTATCGATCAATCCATGCAATACTGTTATAGCTTTCTCGTAGTGTTCGTTTGTCCAATCCTCAAGAGATGTTCCAACACGGGCTATGTGAGACTCAAACTGAGTAAAAATCCTCTTTTCTTCCGTCTCGCTGCGACTAGATAATTCTTCGTATACCGTGAACATCTTCAGGCCTGGTTTTAATGAAGGCCATCTTGGAATTCCCATATCCATCATTCCTAATTTCATCTTACTCATTTTACTTCCTTTCTTCAATGGAAGAGCTTTTAAAGCTTTCTGAGCAAGCTCTATGGTCTTTCCAATACTCTCGCTATGCATTCTATCCTCGTGTTGGTTGGAAGCAGTGTTCGATTCTGCTTCTAGCTGATTTTGCCTCTTCGAAATATTAGACTCACTCATAATAAACTGGATATAATTTATTTCTCATCGTCTATATATAGTTTTATTCATGGAAAATGATAAATAAATAAATTAATTAATGTTAATTAAATTTGTTAACTTTAATTAAATTTGTTAATTAAACAAACTATTTCCCACAACGGATCGTAATGTGACACCAAGTGTCACATAAACATAGATCACTATATTATGACACATAAACAAGTAGAGCCCCTTGTAGCGTGTTGGCCTAACCAAAGCCCGGGAGGCAATAACCAACATCAATCTACATTGCTGACCCGGAGAGAGGTTTCAATGCCCTTGAGGCAAGGAAAACCAACAAGTACACTAATATATCTAAATTATATGATAAATACATAAAGAACCCATTAAATAAGGGCTGCACTGGCCAGCTCAATATGTTTTTATAAAAATGCTTGCCTGAGTGTTTTCTATTTTTTAGTTTACTGCACAGAAGAATAGAATAAAGATGATTACTCGCTATTTTAGCATACATACAGGATAAGTCAATTAAATCACTTAAATTTAGAACTGCCTCTGCTTATTGGCCGATTATATATATAAGTGACCTATAGGAAAGCAGCTAAAGTGATTTAGTTATAAATAGAAATAACGGATGCTAAGGAGAATGAAGAAAGGCAAGAGATTAAAACTGTTAAGAAAGAAATCTTTTTTCGGTTTACAGAAAATGATCAGCAAGTTACTTTTGAATCTAATGATGCTGCAGAGTATTCTTGCAAGAATGAATGTGGAAGACATAAAGATAGTCAGTGAGACTTTGGTTGGTGAGAAGCAGGATGTAGTTATTAACCCGAAAGGGCCATTGAATCTGCTGCGTGGATATATTGGACACCAAAGCGGATACATGTATAACAAGCGGTTTTATTCCCCTGAAATAGATACAGACTATGCATTGACTAAGAAGGGACTATCCAATAGAAAAGAACAGATTTATAAATTTACAAGAATGCCAGTTGATGACAGCGTACACAAAGACTTGGACACAAAAACCCCTGAAGGCAAGTATCTTAGCTCTTATCATGCACAGCTGATAAAGATGTTTCCGTCTGCTGCTTGGGACCTCTCCATTGAAGCAGGAAGGTCGAATGCATTTACAAACTTCCTAAGAGCAGATCATGTTAAGAAAGACACAAAGTACATTCTTGCAGCACTTCTTCTTCTTTCAGAGGGTGTTGACGTTAAAATAGCAGTAGACTACAAAGGAGAGAAAAATAATCTTGTCATAAAAAGTAAGACATGCAAGGAAAAAGTATTTGTGGATGTAGAAATGCATATGGAAGGCATAGATCCATTTACTAGGAAGTACAAAAAGGATATCTACCAAAGTGAGGCAGCTGGAATTGTCAAGTTCTATATGCAGTGCAGAGACAATCCGCTGCTAAAGAAAGGGCGCAAGTTTGTAATGCCAACCACTAGAGAAGAGTTTAAGAGCGGAAAGTTTCTGAACAGTGCAGCCTTCCTTATACAGACATACATCTACGAGTTTATTAATACTGCAGAGGACTACAAGGACTTTGTGGATGCGGTGCATGAATTGCTGATTGATCAAGTAGTTGAAAAGGAGAACCCAGAGCAGACTAAGAAGAAAGGCAAGAAGAGCAAGAAGGGCAGAATATTCGATGAGCTTTTCGTTGCAAAAGAAGAACTTAGCGAAAACAAAAAGTACATTGAATCATTTTGTGGCCTTGTTCAGGCTAAAAATGAAAATGCTAAATTTCCCTTCTACAGTGATAGTCAGCTGCCACGGTATACTAGAGTCCCGCGGTGTAAACTAGACAAGTCTGGCTTTGAGAAAGGCCAAGCATTCTACTACAGTAACTGTGTAGAGACCGCTCTGCTTGGATTATTTTGCTGTCTAGCATACAATCCAGAGACAGGAAAGTATGAGACAGACCACATGGGAACAGAAGTAAGCAATGAGTTGAGAGACTTCTTTGGAGACTATCCTAAGCCAAAAGAGGCAACAAGCTTTGAAATGCACATGCAATGGAGCAGAGTTGTTGCGTGCTTAAAGAATGACAGGATTGACTACAGGCGGAGTAAAAATGAACTTCTCTCTGGGGTTGGAAATATACTTCTTGCTATTTCAGAAATAACAGGACAGAAGAAAGAAATATTAGAGCTAGTTGAGAGTATAGAAGCTGCATGTAAAGCAGGAAAATTAAGTTATAAGCAGGAAGTTTATATTGCAGATAAGATAGAGTCGATTATTAAGTCTTTGTCACTAAATAAAAGTGTAGGAGTACATTGCAACCGAATGCGGCTTGGGGAAAGGTCAAGCGAAAATACAGATATTTTAGCTAAAATTAACATTACATACACTTTCAATAGAGCATGTAATGGGATTTCTTTGGATATAAGCCAAGGGCACACAACTCTTACTCTCCTTCCATCAACAGGAAATAGCTCTGCAGAAATTAAAGAAAAGTATGAAGAAGTAAAAAACACTTACAGTGATGTAGACTGCTATGTAGGATACATTGTGGATCAGTACGTTAGCGTAGAGCTAGATTCTTTAAGCTCTAAGAAAACAAACTTTCCAAAGAATCTTAAGAAAATCTTAGTCCCGATTGTACAGGAAGGATCTGAAGGCATATATAAAATATTCTTATTAGGAAAGCTTGTTTCCAATGAGATTAAAGGCCTTATTATAAACAGCTTTATAGACAGTACGATAGATAAGGAGGTAGGCCCAGAAAACCCTTTAACACGTTTTACTGCAAACATTTTAGGAAGTGTTCCGCTCAATGACCCTAGCACAAGATATACAATGCTAAAACACTTCCCCCTTCATGCAAGCTGGCAGAAATTCTATCCAAAGCTTGGATTTAAGCCATCAGAGAATATCCCAAAAGAAGATGCTATTTGGGAGAACATACTAACAGAAGAGATATACAATACTCTACTAGATCTTCCAGCGCCTGCAGCATTAAAAGCCACATGCAACTATACTAGAGCAACTGCGAATAATACAATGATGGAATATTCAGCAGTATGTTGTATAAACCGAACGCGTCTATTTGAACATATTGTATCTAAGGAGGGAATAGATGGCTTAGTGAAAATTCAATCCATTCTCAAAGAAACTACGGAAGGCTACAATTTAAACTATGTATATCTTCTTTGGTTTATCCATGTAAGTTCGGGTGTTGGTGGGTTCTCATTAGAATCAATTAAGATAGTTTACGACTTTATACTCTTTGGTAATTATCCAAGCACACTTATGTTTGAAGAAGAAGTGTTAGAACCTTTAGAGTATTTTGAAAAGAGTCTAAATGTTTTAAAAAAAAATAAGACTCTTTTCTGCTTAAAAGATGACTACATAAGTACAAAGAAATATAATGGGTTAGTGTCACATTTGAAGAAGTTCATTAAAACAAAGAATATAGGGTGTTTTTCCATGTTCTAGGAATGTAAAACCTCTTCTCTAGTAAACAATGTAGCATCTAGTGACCTTCTTTACAGGAATGTGTCTATTAGCCCATATGTCATAAATAAGGGGCACTGCTTGCTTATAGGTCAATATACAGGAATATATGGTTCTGCTGGCTTTATACTGCAGTATAATCAGCTGTCTTAATATTTGGTTTATAAACTTGATGTGTCATACGAATAGAACACTATAGCCTGGAAGTAATAGCCCAATGGTGATAACATCTTGTTTAAAGAAAAGCTTTCATTTATGTCCTGCAAGAATTGCTGAGATCTTGATTTCTGAATTTATCTTGATTGTTCTGCCATCTGCTCGCTCACTGTGCCTTTCATGGTGCTCTTTGTTCTCTCTTTGCAGAATCGTATATTTCTGTATAGCAGAGTCTGATTTCCAGAGAGTGAATATTTTGCTTTTGTTATTATTTTCTTTTTGGACCATTCTGTTGTAGTAAGAAAATTATGAAGGAGTAGTAATTTTGCCATAATTGGTTTATTTGTATCCGTAAACAGGATACAAGCTATTGGAACCTTCTTTTACTATTAATTAGAGGAACCATGCTCCAATTGGTTTAGATTAAGTAAAGAGGGAGAAAATACTCCCCTTTTAAATTATTTAAATGGATCAGGATTGAAATAAAGACAAAGTTTAACAATGACTTCTTTAAAGGAAACAAGTAATAGAAAAGAAAGTAGAATTCAAAAAAAATTATATGTTGGAAGAAACAGAAGGTTATGCTTTCATGTAGCAGGAAAGCACAGTGAAGCCAAAGGTGCTAGAAGAAGCTTTGTAGGGCTGACAATAAGAGTGCTTTTTGTGCTTTTTATTTTTACTGTGCAGCAAGCTTATGCAGTGCTAACGAGAAGTGATGCAGAGAAACTGCAGCAAATGGTAGTACATGCAGAGGGGGTTGTAGAGTGGGTTGTCAATCCATATGGCCCGCTAAGCCCATTTGGATTATATGTATACAATAAGACTCGCTATATGCATATACGTAGATTTTTTAATATTGAAATTAATCCATATTATAATGTGTCTGGCAAAAATAATAACCAGTTTATAAGAGATCCAACAAAAGACGAAGCGTTCGCTTTTTATTTAAAAAACGTTAAAATTACAAACTTTATTAGCGCCCAATACACTACCCTCATCAATATGTTTCCTTCTCCTGATCAAACAATAAGCATTTACCCTGAAGAAGACTGCAAGGACTCGTTTACTCTTTTCTTGAAAAGCAATCTTGTGAAAGAGCATGCACACACAATTCTTGCAGCATTGCTTCTTCGAACAGAGAAAATAGATGTACCACTGTCCATTAAGTATAATAAAACCAAGACCCGTCATCTTGTATGGAAAGGCGGAGCCCAGAAGACAGAGAACTTCCGTCTTAAAATGGTTATTCCTTGTTCTGAGATGCAAGAAGACGATTTTAGGAAAAGAAGATGTGAAGTTCGTCAATATAAAGCTTTACAGGTTATTGAGTTTTTCTTGCATACGAATTCACTAGTTCAATATGATATAGAGGATTCTATGACTACGGAAGAAAAAGAAGGATTTTGGGAAAATAAGTTTTGTATGTGTAAGAGCTGGCTTATACAATCGTACATATATCACTATCTGGAAACTAAAGAAGATGCTGCTTGCTTTAATAGGACAGTATACAAGATGCTGGATGAGCATATAAAAAAGTGTAAAAGGGAAAATAGAGATGAGCAAAAGGCTATTAGCGAGGAGTTCCTTAAGACATGCTTTATGCAATGCGATTCGCTTTCAGATGAACTTGAATACTGGAGGAAAATAGAAGAACTTGAAGGTAGTATTGAGGTTCCGGAAAAGAAGAGACTGCTTCCCTTTACGGATTCAGAGCATGCACCTATTAGAACAACAGTAGATGTGCAAATTTGTGATGATACGTATCTAACAACAGATGTTTTCTTAACAGACGTAGAATCTGCATTGCTTGGGCTGTTTTGCTGCTTTGCATACGATCCAGATTGTGTTATATACAGTGTTGGCCATATGAAAAATTCCCCTAGCGCGGTAAGGGATTTCTTTTCTAATATACCATCTTCCATGGCTGCTTGTATTTTAAGTAGAGAAATTGGAGTAGAAGAACATTTAAATAGCGCAGATCCTTTAGAAAGTATTAAATTGCTTCCAGGAAAGGAGATACCTATGGATGTTCAGCAAGCATGGAAGAATATAGTTAGAGATTATTGTATTGATGACCTGGGATTCAATGAATCGAATGATGGCAAAGTTCTTGCTGGAGGGATTCTTAACGTGTTGACAGCAATTTTACAACTTGCTGGAGAATACAATGAAGTAAACAAAGAAAAAATCGAATCTTTTAAGAACAAATTATTAGAAGTGATAGAAGAAGAAACTATTGATCGAATTGTTGAAGACATACAAGAATACGCAGAAACTCTGTTTGCTTCTCTCTCCTGGCAGTGCACTCCATGCGATGGATTGGTAGAATGGTATGATTATAAATCAGATGAATCAGAAAGAAAAAGAGAAATCTTTATAAGCTTCATATCTATTGGGACATATATTGAAAAACATAGAACTGATCTATATGGAAGCATGCAAATCTACTACGCACATAAAAACCAGGCACAGCCCATAATATTGCACTTAATGAATTCAAAGATAACACATTTAGAAATTGGAAAGAAGGTTGTAAAGTTGGATAAATCTAAAGAAAATGCAAGAGAAGAAGTCAAAAAGGAGTTACAAATGCCACTTAAAGAAAATAGTTTCATTCAACACATTCTCTTTGATTACATTGAAAAAATAGAGAGTTATACACTGCCTGAGTATGTTGTATTTGCTTCTTATATAATCGAAAATATTAATTCTAGTGATATAAATCCTCCACTTCGCTTCCACTGCATGCAGCCAACTAAACATATTCATGTAGCTATGTTTAGTGTAGTGGACTGCCTGTTAACAGATAAATATATCACACCAAACTATATAAAATCTTCAACTCATCAAGAACTTAATTTAAGCTATATAATAATAACCACTCCAGTGTCTAATATAGAGAATTTGCTGTTTTTAATTGTTTGCATAGGCTGCAAGAGGGGAAATGCAAAAAATAATTTGAAAGAAATACGAAAAGCTATGCCTAAAGATAGTAATCACGAATTCATAACAATAAAAGTTATGGTCAAAATTGTTTCTATTCTACTCAGATGTAGTGCAGACATTGACCTAGCTAATGTACTAGCCGCATATGCTCAGATATACTGGGGTAGTGACAAAATGTGCATTGCCAAAATAGTTGAAAAACATCCTAGGCAGAAAGATAGAATATTGAACTGTCTAGATCGACATATGACTGTCAAACGTAGAAAGCCAGCAAAAAAAAGAAAAATGATAATACGTCGCAAGCCAAGAATGAACCCTAAGAATATGTACTGCATAGTATGCTGACTTGAAGGTAATACACTAGCTTCTTCAAGTATGGATTGTATAAGTCTCTGTGTATTTCATTCTTAGACAATAAATAATTTCTACTTCATATATATATATTTTCTATATTTTTATTTTCGTATATTTTCGTATAGCTTCAGACTTGTTAACATCTGTATAGATGTGGAGAGATTTTTTAAATAAAATTGACGAAGGACAGGGAAAATCAAAAAAAGCACTAAGTTTGAAGACCCTTTAACCAAAGGAGATAGGCTGGTATGGTTATACTGGTGCACACGAGAGGTCATGCGCGCGCAAGAAAGATCAAATCCAACCCAAGTCGTACGGCTATATGTATGTCTTGCATAAAGGGGGTACCCTGGTATTGCATTCACTTTTTAATCTATTTTCCGGGATTAGGCACAATTGTTTGTTTATCACCTAGTGCGTATAATTAGGTTCTATTTGTGATGTGCAGAAAAAATGCTTGCAAAGAAAGACCACTCGAAAGCTCAGAAGAAAAGCACGTCCATTGCAGGGCGTATGAAAAGATTTTTCCTTGGCGCATTCAAAAGCAAAGCAAAGGTTTCTGATGCTGCGGAGGGCCCTTTGCCCTGTGAAGAGACACTTCGCAAGGAAGGACTGTCTGAGACATCTTCTCTCTGCACAGGCACGCTCGCCATGCAGGCCACGCGAGAGACAGACATAGCCCAAAGCACAAAAAAGAAGCAGAAGATCACAAAGAGTGCTCTAGAAAGTGCGGTAGACAGGTCTGTATACCCAGGAACATATGGTCTGGATGAGAGGTCTGCGCCTGCAGAGCAGCCTGCACACATAGAGGGCTCGTCTGCACAGAGCACCGCTTTAGAGCGCGAGCTGCCGCTAGAGCCTTCTGCTGATGCAAACTCTCCTGCTAATGCTTCTAATGCTGCAAACTCTCTACTAGTGGGAGAGCCGGACACACAGGCAGAAGAAGTGCAAATTAAAAAAACACAGGCAGAGAAGGAGCATGCAGAGCTGCACGCGCTTGTGTCCTTTATGCGAGAGATCGAGAAGATTGCACAGGACACAGAGGCAATGGGCGATGTTGCGTATCTTCCTGTAATCCTCTTCTTCACTCTCTCCCAAAAGGGCTTCTCCCTCACAGACGACCTTCTACTCTCCAGCGAGAAGTTCCACAGCATAAGCCAGGGCCGTCCAGAGCACCGCGCTCTGATGGACGAAACAGCTGCAAACTGCCTTGTGTCTGAGGCCCTGGCACCTCTTGAGACCATGACAGAGCGCCTGGCTCTCTGCAGGCCTGCTCTTCTGGCATACGTCTCGCTGTGCAACAGTGTGCATGCAAGTATTTTTGTAGAGAACAAAAAGCACACAATGTCAGAAACTGCAATAGGCTTTGTTTGCGAGGTACTGAAGTACATTAAGTACGTCATCGCTGCAGAGCTGCTCCGGATAGACCTCCCTTCTGAGGACACGTATACTAAGGGCCCAGCCCCATATGCACACAGTGAAGCGTACTGCGACAGCGCCTTGGAGGACTCCAGCGAGCAGTCGGAGGAGGCCTGCCCAGAAAAACAGGCAGCGCCTAAAGGCGAGGCGCTCTCTTTTCCAGGACAGGACGAGTCCTCTTTTGAGTCGCGCAGCCTTTCTTCTGGAGATGAGCTGGCAGACAATGTGCTCTTCAAAAGACAGAAAGAGAAGTACCAGAGCCAGGCCACTCAAGTGGAGCAAGCAGGCGTGCACATCAAGTAGATGGTGGCTGCAAAGACACCGTGGCGCAGCAGAGGTTCTACACACGGACTTGTGAGCACCTGCTGCCTCGGGCTGCGCACAGCACAGAATGGCTGCATGTTGAATGGTCTGTGGTGTGGGCGTGCTGCTGTGTCCGTCTGAGTGCTTCTTTAGTGTGTGCATGTCCGTCACAAATAAATTTGGTATACCAACGCTTTTCTTTATTTACACACAGCTCTGCATAGACTTCTATTATGACAGTGGGCTGGTGCACTGCCTCCCAAAATATGCTGCACTATAAAACTGCAGAATAGTGTTTTATTGCTGCTGTTATTACTGTGGTTGTGGCCTGGTATAAAAAATAGATTAATATAAACAGCTTATGTCATGTGTATGGAAGTGGCCTGCTTTTTTAATATATCGCGCACTATGTTAATTTATATATTTTTTATATGCTGTAGAATATTTCAGCATAACTTGATGTATTTAAAACATAAAATAATTATTTCTAGTCTATGTAACTAAAAATGAAAAGGTTATTCATCCATAGTTTTAGGAAAAAGTTGCACATATTAACATTGAGAACCCCATAGAATTTCTGCAAAGGCTAAAAATAACAAGAAGAAGATAGCAAATAATAATTTATCCTGTAATGTATTGCTATAATCCAAACTACGCAACGGCATATGAGGCTATCTTTGAAGCAGAGGTTATTATAGTAAAAAAGTTTCCTGCTGATGCAGTAATAACCAAGCTTATAGCCACTACAAAGATAATACTGTAAAACCCTAGCATATAGCTGTGGTTATATTGCTTGCCTATTTTTCCCCTAATGAGGCTACGCACTTTATGATAAAAATATTTTAGTATGAGAATATTACTGCCAATAAAGGTTAAGCAAAGAAGAAAGTTAATAGCCACCCCGAATGTTGCACCTCCTAAATAGAACAAAAGTTCTGTTTTATAATATAGAACCATCAAATTTGTTAGAGATACCATTAGGATTGACAAAGTCTGAGCTATTTTGAACGCTCTAAGCGTTGAATTATTGCTGTTCATGTTCTTAAAGCTATAATAAGAATCAAGTAAAATGCCTATATACATAGCCAGCGCAATATACAAAAGAGTGCATGAAACAATGTATATAATTAGATTTACAAATAGCGCGATGCCCAGATAATATTTATAGCCTATTGTGTTTGCCGATGAGATAGAAAGAATATATGGAAGAACGCATAAAGCAATGTTGATTATGGTTATAGCATATGAAAATAAAAATAAAACCAAAAATAGAAATAAAATAAAGTAGCACCTAAATGTGCTGCTTATGCTAGTGCTAAACTGCCCTTCAAATAGTTCAAATTGATTATCTATAACAGTGAAAACCTTTGTTGAGATCAATGAAAACCCTGATAATATAATGTTGTATATAGAACCTCCCATGCTTTGTATATGCTTAGAAACTATTTCTTGGTCTGTTTCTTCTACAGGCGCTGGCTCAGGATTATTAATCTGGGCAGTTTCAAGATTCTTTGAAGATAAAACATTCTGCGCGCTGTCCTGTGCACTAGATACAAACTCAGATAACACACCTCTAAAAAAATTCATCTGCTGCTGCAAACTCCTACTTATTATTATAGCTGTTTTCTCTTCATTGGTGCATCTAAAAAATGTGTATGATTATTGGAAGCACAGTTAGCGCCGTTATTGGATAGAGATCATTTAAAATAATATATAACTATGTAAACATCAAATTCTATGGTTTAAGATGCCAAATCTCTGATGTGTAAATAACTTCAATAAGATCTATCTTACCAGATACAAAAAGACTGCCATGTGATTGCAAGAGAGAAATAAAAGGGCAGCACATGCTAGCAATGAACAAAAAGCCAAGCACAGGAGCTCATAGCCAAGATTTTCAAAATATATTGTGGTAAAATTACCACTCCTTCGGAAATTTCTTATACCGACAGGGGGTTCAAAAATAAAATGATAGCGATTGCAATTCATCGCTATCTCAAGATCAAAACCCTACTATAAATACAGATGCAATTCTGCAAGGGGAGCAGCAAGTGTGGACAATGGAACGAGCAATGAAATATATGAGAAAGACTACCGGACATGGCAATTCAACTATGAATCCAAGATCCCAGCGAGATACGCAGGACATGAATAAAAGTTCTTCTTTAAGTAAGATGTTGTCCCTCTTGGGTTATTACTTCCAGGCTATGACGCTTCCGCCATCGTGGCACGTCATATATACATGCATATACTAATAAAATACATTATAGATGATCTCTATTTTAGACAGCTATTTTCTAGATGGAACGCAGCCCCTCTTAGCGCACACCAATAGCTGAAGCCTAATGTAAGCTATTGGGATTCAAGATAAATTGTTACAGTAAAACTGGTCTGCTTTATAAAATGTTTGTATCCATAGTACTAAAATTATTTTATTGAATTTTATTCAGTTATATATGAGATGTAGAGCATAATTTTGAGCATTCTAATATAAGGGCACTATATAAGCAGATAAATAATTATGTGCTGCAAACAAGCAATTCTGCCTATGTATTTGGCAAGTCTGAATAGGCTTCAGTTGCAGCACAAATCTCATTGTATCACCACATAATTTGGTATGTACGTGCATATTATGCTGCCCCTACCTTCTAGTACTCTCTTTCATTCGCAATAACATTGATCTCGATTCTATCGCACAGATAGCCAGAAAAAGTCTTTTCGTTTCCCTCCAATAGAAAAGATCCAAAGCATATAAGGTAGAAGTAGCGCATCAAATATTCAGTATTATCTTTACGGAAGGCAATTGCTTCGTATATATTCTGTATGTGGCCGCATTCTTTGATAATCGAGTCTACTAAGTTTTTGCTTTCCCTTCCCATTGGTAAAACTTGTATCAGTTTGGATATCATTATGTAGCTATCGGCGTACTCAACTTGCGACCTCTTCTCTTTCAATATACTTTTTCGCTCCGCACTGGTGAGTGTGTTTATATACTCGGTGAATCCAATTAGTCTTGATATGACCATTCCAGTGGTTGTTCGCCCTCTTCCCATCTGGCACGAGAAAACAAGCATTCTGGGCTTAGGGGCTGCCATGATTATCCTATAAAGCTCGTCAAATATTTCAGGAAGAGGTGCCTGTTCGTCAGAGATTGGCATCCTATAATACTTAAGGTTTTTGTTTATAAAGATCTCCTTGGGGGTGAGAATGTTTCTACTTACAACTGTTTCAGATGATAGTATGGCTTCTCCGTCTTGTATCTCCTCGTTGTGAAGAATCAGGCCTTCTTTTTCTGACTCTTCCAGACAGTCATTCTTCATTCTTTCTTCTATGTCTTCAACCCACTTTCTATTGATCCCTTCAGTAATAACATTTTCGTAGATCATATCTGTAATGCGTAGAACAAATGGAAAGCCATCAATATAGACAATTGGCTCCTGCCGCAAGCAGAACCAGTGAATAACTTGCCCAGATGCATTTTTCTTGAATTCTTCTTCTATGCAATGTTTTCCGCTCTGCTCACTGCAGGGCCTGCTTCCATTTAAATACTCAACTAGAGACTGAACACCCCAGGAGGTGGGCTGTGCAAGCCCTACAATTGTATCCCTATTGAACTCAACTGCTCTAAAATTGCTGCAACCCTTTATATCAATTGTATTCGACTTGAGAATACGCAGCGCTGGGAAAAAGTCATTTTTCAGAATCGTATGCGGGGTTAGCACCTGTCCCCAGGGCCTGTTAATCAGCTCGACTCTTTTTTTCTTATCCTCCTCGTCTGGCGAGTTCTGTGCATTTTCTAGTTCGTTGTGCATGCCACCTTGCTCTAGCAGCTTTCTATCATTCACACAGCTTTCATAAATATGCAGAATGTCTTCTCTTTTGTTTATCCACACCCGGAATGGGCAGGTGTTATTTTCTAGCATATATGAGGTAAGCACAATCAACAGCATATAATCAATCAGATTTTTCTGAGAAAAGTCCGGTGTGAGATGCGTGCTGTAAATGTCTTTGTTTTCCATGTCGCTCCACACAGACCTTACTATTATTTCTGACTCAATTCCATTCTTCAATATTCTAACTAGCGTCTCTATTGATCTTATAAGAATGGGGCGCGGCATTCGGGGAAGGTCATCGGTGGCGCTTTTTCTTTCTTCGGCTTTTTCAATTAGAAGGGAAATGACCTTCACAATCTTGTTACGCCCTAGATATCCACTTGCCTGCAGTATGACAGGCATAGACCTATGCGTGACTAGCGTTGTATATAACAAGTCAAGTATGTTTGGGTTGAGAGGCGCCTTTGAAACCATGGGCACTCTTATGTACTTAATCTGCTTCGGGTTGATCTTTGAAATAAACTCTTCGCATGTCTGAACGTTCTTTTCTTTCACATTCGCATGCTTTGTATTGATTTTATTGGACTCCGTTGTAAATAAAAGAACCTCTCCCTGCTGCTGGCTTCCTTCGTCCTGTATTCTGCGGATTAGTATTTTCTCTTGGTTGTTCACTAGCTCTTCTGTTATTCCAGGAATTGTTCGTATATTCCTGGTTGGATCTATGCGGTCTCTTTCAGAGTGCGGCACGCCTTCTATATAGACTATAGGCTCTGCCCGCAGATTTATCCACAGCACCTGCTCGCAAATAAACGACATATCGGTTTTCTTGTTTGGCTGATGCATTTGCATCACCGGAATAGACATTTTTTCAGCAGCAACTCTCTCTTTTTCAAAGGTTGCATTCATGTCCCTATCTGCTTGCAGAACAGTGCCTATTCCTATTATAGCGGTCCATTCCTTATCAACTGTGCTGGCCTGGCTAATAACTGCAGGAGAAAACAAGTTCTTGCTTGGAACTGCAGAAGTCACTTCCTGGATTATTCCCTGCGCTATCGAAGAGTTTTCTATCCAGTCTACGAAAGAGCTGGCTGTCTTCTGCTGTTTGTAAATCGCATACAGAATCAGCGAAGCGTACTTCTCTAGCAGGAACATTGATTTTTTTAAGGCCTTCTTGCAGCCATGGCACTGGAAGGCAAGAATGTTTTCCAGAAGAACAGCCAGCAGATTATACTCAATTGAGTTTATGACCGCGTTCACCAACTCCCGCACTTCTGGCAAGTCCATAGCATTCGCAAGCCGCTCAATTATTACGTACTCGCCCTTCAAGGCTTTCTCAAGCACGGGGATCACATTGCCTGACTTCATCAGAAACGCTGCAAACTCCTTCTTTGGAAAGACTTTCTCAAGGGAGTGAATAACCCGAGGGAACGAAGGCACATGCGCTGTATCATCTAGCAGGTGCTGATTGCTTATAGCTTCCCGCAGAAGGCAAATGCTCATTCCATACGATGTTTTGTTCAGCCCTGTGCTAGAGTTGAACCCAATTGAGTATTCATGGTACGCCTCACCAAGCTCCTTCTGCTCTTTGCTGAGAATTATGTCAAGAACAGATATAAACGACTCTTTGCAGTTTATCCTGTTTATAGGCACTCGGTAGTACCGTATTCCATTGATTTCGTTAAAGACCTCCCGAACCGTTTGAACCTGCCGCACATATATGTTGCTAGCCCACAGCGTTTTAGGCGTTTTCTCTGTGTACACCTTTATGAAGCCTCCTGACCGATTGGCAAGCTCCTGAATGTCCTTCTTCAGGCGCTTCTCCATTTCCTCCATTCTCTTATACGATATGCCAACAAATGACTTGATGTTTGAAAATGGTGCTTTTTTATCCTTCAGAAGAAAGGGCAGCCCATTTATATATATAACAGGCTGTTCTCGCAGATTTATCCAAATGATCTTTTTCTTGTAATACGTGGCCAGGTTGTGTATTCCCTCAGTTATTGGCTGGGACAGTCCAAAAATATTTCCTATTTTTCGAAAGTTGCTTACTCCCACAAATCCTGTCTCTTTTTTGTAATCCTCCAAAATGAATGGCGGCATATCTTCCTTAAGAATTGACAGCTCAGTTAGCACTAACGGCACATATTTACCTTCCATTTGTTTCATATGGGGTTAAAATAATTAAATACAAATATTTTACTTGAATTTACCAGATAAGAGTGCTAGTAAACAAAAGAGAATTAGTTCGGGACAATGAGAGTAAAGCCATGCCTATTAATATTCAAGCAATCCTTATTCATTTGATACGGTTTATTTTAGAACTTATCTTCTCTGCGCATGCTTAGCATACTACTCCAGTAATATTATATATGGATTGCAAAATACCAAGTATTTTAGAACAAAATACCTTCACTCTAGCATAGGTGCTGGCTTTCCTATATAATGCATACATAATAAGACCAATTGCAGCAGTGGATAAAAGAAGAGATAGATAGGCAGTTCTGCACTTTAGGCATTCTATTTCATCAATAGACAAATCTGTATTACATTCTCATAATATACCTTGGCTTCTCTGCATCATTTCCTGCGAAAATTCAGATATATTTATTTGTGCACTCAATTTTATACTACTTACTAAAAACATGTCTGGCAAGAAAGAATGCGAAAACAACTAAATTCAAAGGATATATATTTGGAAGGAAATGGGTATTTTTGGTACAATCCATATATTTATTTATATAGGGCTATCTGCCAGTCCTTTTTATAGTCTTCCTTTAGCGAGTATGTCATTCTTTCTAAAAGGTCTGCAAGCTTTGCAACGTCTTCCTTGGCAGGCTGTCCCACCCGGAGCACTTTCTGATACTTTGTGTTTGAATAGATATAAGCTGATGTACTAAATGCCGCAGAGTCATGCACAGCAAGTAGAATTCCCTTCATTTGAATGCCTGCATTGATTAGCAGCACAGAAATCGTGTTAAGTATGGCTGCCAAGATATTCTCTATTGAAGAAACCACAAATATCCTAATTTCAAGCACGCACCTGGGGTAGTCTCTAAGATAAATAAGATCCATTAAAATTCTCTCAATGTTCTCTTGCAGTGATGCATACTGGGTTCTGGTTTTGCTGCTTCCCATGATAATGACTCGGACCGAGCCGCTGTACATGTTAAGTATGCCCCCAGAAGGCTCAAAGGGCCCGTTCAGCATTCCTATTACTTCAGAGCCTTCGCACTTAACAAGAACGCCTGCTTTATCTCTTCCCAACGCATTATATTCACAGTCAAAGTATCCCATACAAAAATATTTGTAAAGAAACTAACAGCATATACTTGGACAAATATACATAGAAAAGGAAGTCTTTCATTGCAAGAAGAACCCATACCATATTGATAAAGTACAGAAACCCATGCAGCTCTTAGCATAGTTCACTAAGTATTGTGGCCTTGGGAATAGTAGTTCTGCAGAAACTGCTGCATTCTTATATACGTTTGGTGCACTTTTCCAATATAGTGCTGTTTTCGCTCACTTTCCAGCCACGGAAGATAGTGCGGGCATGCCTTGCACCGCATTCTTGCTACGCCTTCTCGACTGTTTGTCTCTTCCAGCTTTCGAAGCCTTGCCAGTGCCAGCTCCTCTAGCTCTTCCTGTCCATTTAGTTTGAAAATAGCCCACTCAGCCTTTGCCTGGTTGTATTGCGCAATTGCTTGTGTTGAGGCTTGCCGCTGCTGCTTTGGCAGGCTAGCCATAATTCCCTTTATTTCATCTTTTAATCGAATAATGCACTTCTGCATAAGATGGTGCGTGCGAAAGAACTTTTTTCTTTGCAAAGGGTCATTGAATATGTTTAAAAACTCATTTCTTCCGGCTTCTTCACTGGCTAGTGGGACATGCTGGAATGTACACATGCTTTTGTGGTTTTGCTTTAGCTCTCCCCTAGGGCACACACCCAGGATATGGCTATAGCACAGCATTTCTCTCTTTGCGCCCTCTAAGCCACCGTCTGTTTTTTTCTGGCCTGCATCTCTGGCTTGGTATTTCAGCACAAGCTCATCAAACATAGCAGCATTTCTATTTCTGTGGGCCATGCGTCTTTGCAAGTAAAAAATTTCCCTTGCGGGGAATTGAACCCCGGCCGTCGCGGTGAAAACGCGAAATCCTAGCCACTAGACCACAAGGGATCTACCTTTCTAAGAAAAGCATGTTCCGTGACAGGTCTAATTAGACAGCCATTAGATCCGGAAAGCAAACATTTTTTTTACGATGCTAGACGACCAAAGCATATGGAACACTATAGGAGGCGCAAAGGCCTTCTGCTCCTTTAAAATGAAGACACAGACAGATCTGCTTTGCAGAAATGCAAACAATGTATCTGGGATGTGCACGCGAGAGACCTGCCCGCTCTCGAACTCGAAATACGCAACGGTCAGAGAGATAAAGGGGAAGCTCTATCTGCTTATGAAAGAGCCAGAGCGGCGGCATAAGCCAAAGTCTCTTTATGAAAAAGTGGAGCTAGACGAGGACTACGACAAGGCCCTTGCAACAATCAGTGAAGAGCTGAAGGACTGGGGAAGCTTTATAGTGCACAAGTGCAAGCAGCGCTTGACAAAGCTTTCAGACTACTTGGAGAGAAGGGCACTTCTTGATGAAATTGGCAGGCCCGTATACATACACAGAAAAAAGAAGGCAGAGAAGCAGGACAGAGCAAGAGAAGTCAAGGCTGCCCGGCAAGCAAAAATAGAGAATGCAGTTGAGAAAGAAGTGCTTGAGCGATACAAGCTAGGCGTCTATGGAAACAAGGGTATGGTAGAGCAGGAGCGATCGACTGTCCAGGAGGTGAAGAGAAAGAAGCTGGGACAGGTCCAGACCCGAGGAATAAAGTATGTAACAGAATTTGAAGAGGAGCCTGAGGAAGAGCAGGAGCAGGAAACAAAGAAGAAAAGAATGACAATGGAGTGGTGATCATGATATTATAGAGAGTTTTGCTATCTGAAGGAGAGCAGGCTTATGCTGTCCTGCGACTGGGTTGCGCATAGATAAGATTCCATGGATTTAATAGACTATACCATGGCCGAAAGAATAAATTTCTGTTTTACTTATACTTTGGTTGTCTGGCAGCCAAGAAATTATTCCAAAAACTGTTGAAAATATCCAGTAAAAATATTTAATTATAATTTGTGCTTACAAAATATTTTATGTCAGCGGGAAGAAAAGACAAACGACCATTCAACTCCAGCCCAAGAGGAGGACCAAGCAAATTCCAGAGAAAACCACCCATGAACAAGCCAAAGGAGGTTGTTCTGCAGCCACACCCACGGTTCAAGGGCGTGTTCCTGTCAAGAGGAAAGGAAGAGACGCTAGCCACAAAGAACTTAACCCCTGGGCTATCAGTCTACGGCGAAAAGAGAATTCTGGCAGGCCCAGACGATGCAAAGGTAGAGTACAGAGCATGGAACCCCTTCAGAAGCAAGCTTGCTGCAGGTATCCTTGGTGGACTGGAGAACATCCACATTGTCCCAGGAGCAAAGGTTCTTTATCTTGGAGCCGCCTCTGGTACAAGTGTGTCTCACGTGTCTGATCTGGTTGGGCCAGAAGGTGTAGTCTACGCCGTGGAGTTCAGTCACCGGTCAGGCAGAGACCTTCTAAGCCTGGCTAAGAAGAGACCAAACATTGTTCCTATCATTGAGGACGCCAGACTGCCCCAGCGATACAGAATGCTTGTGCCAATTGTTGATGTGATATTTGCTGATGTTGCACAGCCAGACCAGGCAAGAATCGTTGGTCTGAACGCCAAGTACTTTTTGAAGGAGAAGGGTGGAGTGGTGATCTCCATCAAGGCTAACTGCATTGACTCAGTGAAGGCTCCTGCAGAAGTATTTGCCAACGAAGTAAACATTCTTAGAAAACTTGAAATCAAGCCAAAGGAGCAGGCCACGTTAGAGCCATACGAGAGAGACCATGCCATTGTTGTTGGAATATACAGAGACTCAAAGTAAATGGTACTTAAGGTGTGGTCTTTGGTAAAGCACTAGATATTATTACTGAGATGCTCTAGAAGAAACCCGGCAGCCTTCATAAATAAAGATAACAGCAGGATCAAATCACAGTCGCATCTTAGAACATATTTATCTAAGGCTCCTGCTGAAACGTGCTTCTTTCATGGCACAGCCCAGAAAGAGTATACGTTAATGATGCATCAATAGTATTCTTCTAGAATAGAAAGGGGCAGTTATATATTTTTATTGGCCGAAGACATGGGGCATCAGTATATAAGCTTGTTCTGCTAACGGGGTATGCGAGATATTAACATAAAATCAGAAAAGCTGCATCCGTACAAAGATATAGAGAAGCAGATTGGATCACAGACTCTAATGAGGTTCAACAAGAAAGAGGATGGGGCTCTTCTATATTACACAAAAATAGGACTTTGTGTTCTTCTTGGTGTCGCAATAGCCTCTATGTTTATTGGGTCTATTTGGATGCTTTTCAACAGCAATTTTATTTACAGCCTATTTAATATAAAACTTCTACCTTACACTGTACTGCAAGTATTAGTTACTGACATAACTATGTTCACATGGATGAGTACAATTGCTTTTGGGGTCTTTGGTATTTCAAATTTGCTAGAGAGAATCTACAGCATTAAGTTTAACCTTTTTTCAACTATTGCTGGAGTTATTCTTACGACATGTGGATCTGCTGGTCTATCTACTGGAGTTTTTTGGATACTAACCACAGTCATTGGCATGCAATTCTCTGGTAATATAGCCGCTATATGGGCATTTGGCACTCTTTTCACCTTCATCACTTTACTTTCATTTGTTTTTCTGTACTTCAAAGACTTTTTCTTTACTCTAAACCCGAATGATCTTGATAAAGGAGAGTTTAAGCTTACCTCAGATGGGCCAGCCCCAGACCTAGACATAGACCTACTCACTCCAAGTGATAAGGGCCCTCGAGTCAATGTAATTGGGGAAAAGCCATCTGACCATAAGCTGAATGTGGCAGATGGCCAAGAACCTGACGCGAATCTAATTAAGAAGGAGGATAAGCAAATATATCAGGGAGAGGCAAATGCCTTAATTAGAAGGAGAAAATATGTCAAAATACACTTTTCAGATGTTATGGGGTTTTGGGCAGCTACAATGACTTTCCCCCTGGGATTCTTGCTTTTCATCTTTGCGCCAACCTCTGGTGCACAGCTGATTGAGATGCTGAGTGGGTTGGGTGGATGGTTTTTGAATGCCTCAGGCCTCAAACAGTTCCTCTTTGTAATGTCGATAGGTGTCATGAATTGGATATTCTCTGTGTTTGTTCGACTGAGCAGTTTGGCATTTGGATCTATCCTAGGATACTACCAAAATAAAAACCAAAGCACATGGGGCAACATAGTTGAAGGTGTGTCAAGCCAGGCTGAAAATGTTATATTCACTGGATTTAAAGAAAGCATTTTTGTATCTATGCTAAGTGCGCTGTACAGTTCATTCTTTTTCTTAACTTCACTTTTCAAGAGAAGAGTAACCACAGGGGATAAAATTAACTTTGCGTCTAGCCTTGTTTGTCTTTTAATATCTACTTTTACGATGTTCTTCTCTGGCTTTTTGTCTTTCTTTGATGCATTTAAGTACATAAAGATAGGAATGTATTCATCAGAGCTTATAAAAGTTGCTGATATGTCTGTGTATGATAATAACTGGAAATCTTACTTAACTACATGCTTAATCATGTTAACTCTAGTAGCCATTCTTCTACTTGTTGCATGGGCTGCCTTTACACTCTGGGGCAGTCTAAACCCCATTACCATGAAGTTTGAAATTCCAAAGAAATTTGGTATTCTAAGTGACCTATCAATGAGAGTGTACATTCTGGGGCTGTACTCCTTATTCATGCTATCTTTTGTGATTATCCCAACAATAGTTGAAGTGCTGAAGGGCCGGCCTGACGTGGCAAAAGACTTGATTTTTTACAAGCTTCTAACCCCATCTATAGCAACATAGTTGCTCTTTGCTTAGCCCTGTTGCACTGCCGCTTTATGGCATTTAATAAATGGTAAATGCATTGTCTTTATGATTTATGTCCTAAATGCATATTGTTGTCTCTTTCTTTTGTGTGGTATTCTCTGGTTTACCATTTTATATAGCTCTGATTTTGTGTTCTTACAACTATTTTTCCTTTTATTTCTGCATTCAGAGAAGAAAGCATACATATAACCAGAATTTCGTAGAGTTTTATTTTTCTACAAAGCAAAAAGTACATAAAGATTGAAAACATGTCAATCATGCAGTATAGAGGCAGAGATACAACTATCCTTGAATCTCTTTGTTCTGTCCAATTTATACCACTTATAGAAGGAATATTGCAACAGGCAGATTTATATCACAGGTATACATATACAGACAGCATATATTAATAGGAATAGCATAGTATATTTTATAGAGTAGAAATGACAAAGGATATAGAAGAAAATAGCATATGACTATTGAATGTGTGCACAGAAGAAGATTCAGATGTGCTTTACAGAATGTATGCAATCGTTTAAGTAGTTAAAAATAATAGAGCAATATTTTGTGCGTTATTAGGTCTTCAGCAGAAGCCATTGAATGCCTTTATCCACATACATGTGTATTTTAGTGTGTTATTTCCATTTTAACAAATTGTTTAGCATCTATGGCTATGTGGTGATTCTAGTGTATAATTAGAGAGACTGTACACAGGAAAATAAAAATAGCAAGTCAGGATTCCAGGTGCACAAAAAGTGCAGGATTTCTATACTTCTACTAGTAATAACCCGATTTATGTATATGGAATATGCTAAGACAAAGATAAATTGCAAAAAGCAGAAAGTTTGCAAGTATCTGCAGATCATCTGTATATATGATATTTGATCAGAGCATTCTGGTTATATTTTGGAATTATTGAAAGCTTGAATCTTAATTATTTATCTGAAAATAATAAGAACCTATGTAGGTAAGGAAAAGCATTATAAAGTATCTTAAGTGCAGCAGCATATATTAACCAAGAAATAACATCTTTTTAAAGAGTGTACAGTATTATCTGAGCATTTACTCTTTTAAATAATTCTATCTTTTGTTTTTTATGCATGGCAAGTCCTCAGAGGTACAGTCGCCCACAAAAAATGGCAAAAATACCCAAACAGTAAAGGGAACTCAGGGCACCAAGCCACCCGAAGGCTTTATTCTAACAAACACAGCACTAAACACATACGTATACGAGTATCTTAAATCCCCAACCGAGGAGACCTACAGCTTGCTGGAAAGCATAAACGCCCCGCTTGCTGAAGAAATAAAATACAAGAAGCCAAAGATGAACAGAAAAAATAAAACAGTGCTGAATAGCCTGGTTGGGTCGCTGATTGATACTGTAGACCTAAGCACAATAGAAATACTAGACGAAGAAAAAAGAAACAGAAGAATATCCAATAAGTTTGAGCACCCGCAGAGCATCAACGATGGCCTTATGAACATTCTAAGTAGCATAGTGGATGAGTCAGAGACAAAAAATTCGCAGCAAGCAGAGAACTACTTTGAGCTTTTGAAAAAGGTTGAGAAAATGAACAGAAGCAACAAAGAAAAGATAATTCAAGCAAAAAGCGAATATCTAGGCCACTCTTTCTACTATTCGCTGCTGGAGAAGATAGATAACAACATAGAAACACTCTTCAAGAAAATAAAAAAGAAGAAGAAGAAAGAGGATGACACGAATTACTGCCAAGAACTAGAGGACCTACTAGAGAAGAGAAATAGGTTTAAAACCATATGCAAAGACATACCAAGTGAAATGGAAGAGATAAAGGAAGCACCTCCAATTGGAATAGAGTCTATTGAAAGTGTTTTAAGCGAAGCAGAGTTAGAGGCAATAAAGGACCTTCTGCCAACCCCGTATTTGGAGACATGGTTAAATTAAGCCATACGCATGGCTTGGGATATTTAAAAAAACATAATAAAAAGTGTACAGTATTCAAGTATTTTCACATTTGGGCGTGGTTATATGGCAGTCTAGACAGAAATTGTATTTTTAATATTTATTTGTATGTAAGATCCTTGCTGCTTATTTAATTTCTTGAATATTATATTGGATATAGTGCTTCTGAAGATGCTTTTTTAAAAAGATTTTTAGGCTAGAAATAGAATGAAACTTAGTCTAATTAAGCTTAGGAAAGATAAACCCAGATAGATCAAAAGATAGAAGCATTATTAAATAAGGCTGCGTTATAGAGATATATCATTATATAGGGTATTTGGAAGTTCGTGAAGAAAAGTTCTTCCAAATTATATAAGTTTCCTAAAAGAGGCAATTAGGGCATATATGTTTGAATGAGCAGTATAGAAAGTAGTACTATAGAAGCCCTTTTAGCATATAATACATTAAGTCTATTAGTGAAATTTAAGACTCCATAGATGGAAATAGTGCATATAAAAGACATAATTCAAAGAGAGCATAGGCAGCTTATAATGTTCTTAATTGTATGTATATAAGCAGACTTCATTTGCCTAGGATCTATAAGAATATTCAGAAGAAATATGCAAATAGCACTCGCATTATTTCTTCATGAAATCAGTTAAACTGTCTTTTAATTACTTTAGATGCACCTATAGATAAAGGGATACTAGTGAAATATTCTTACACACCTTGCAAATGCAGGAGTGCATGAGTGTTAACTTTCTTGCTATGGTATTGAGCAGATTAGTCCTCTTATATTCTAATTCCCTTTGCCTTAATTAATATCCTAATCTAGAACTGTGCCTAGGCTCATTGCAGTAGTAGGCTATAAATTTATTTTGGGTTCTCGTACGGGGCTATAGCACCAAAAAGAACTCTTTATTTTGGCAGAGGCCAAGAAGAAGAAAATGATCACCAAAATGAAGCTGCATTCTTTATGCAGCTAGAAGGCAACAAATGCACAGAGACAATTGAATCTTATGAAATTAATGGCTCAATCAAAATATAATCATTCTACTTGGTGTATGCAAAAATACCCCATATAACTAAAAGAAAGTTCAAGAGCAGCAGCAAGAAATTCTTACCGGCAAATATTTTATTTGTGGGCTGCGCTCTTTATTTACAAATAGATTCTATGGGGTTCGTTTTATTGGGTCTATGATATAGACCCATTCTAAAGAATATCTATGTTTTAAGTACTCGAATTTGCAGAATTTTTATTTATGCCAGATCCACTATGTAAAGACATACACAAAGTAGATCACCCGAATGAAACTCTTAAGAAGATTCGAAGATATAGAATGACCGAAGACTTTTCACAGTTAGTTGGCATGGATGTACCGCTTGAAATAGAAAACATTCGGCAGGGTCTGCTTCATGGCTCGACAGACTCATTTCTTGAGCTAGCAGAGTACATGTGGATGGAGCTAGCCAGAGATAACTCTGTTCTCAGAGGGCCCTTCAGGACTTTTATAGAAAAGAACAAGCTTATACGGCTAATCCCACCCACACCGCTAATTTCCATCGTATTCCTCTTTTCAGGGGAAGAAACTCTGAAAGAGTGGTGCATTATAAATGTGTGTGAGTTATACAATACGCCAAACTATTTGAGTGGAATGGTCACAGGAGGAACTTTTTTTTATAAAATACACAAGGAAATAGTGCAGGAGACATCCAGGCATAAAGAGAGAAACTTTCTGAAGTCTCTTTTTATTTTTGCTGTCTTAGGCGGGTCATTAATCCACCCGCACTATGCCCTTTTTGAGGAAAGACTCAACAGCCTGTCCGGTGAAATTTCCATAAAATTTAACATATACAAGGTGCTGGTTGCAGGAGAGGTGAGTATAACTGGCGAGGTAAAGAGAAGCAACAAAGTTGCTCTAGACCTTATAACAAAGCTGCTGTATGAGATAACAAACATGCAGCTGCATCTATTTCTGGCGAAAAACAGGCAGGAAACATCTGACATAAAAATGATGCTTCTGTTTACCACGTGGGAGATGCTTGAGCTAGGCATAAAAATAGATATTTGCAAGCACTTGAAGCTCTCCATATTGAAAAGCGGGCTTTTATCAAATAATGGCACAATTAGGAAAAGACTGTATGCCTCGGTAGTGGAAATGTACATGTACAAGGGGGTTTCCCTTCTGGATCTATTTAGATATGGGCTGCTGGAGTATGTTTTGGCACAGGCAGAATACAAAGTGTCTACAAATCTGCAGACTCCGTACAATGCTATGATTCGATCGCTGGTGATTGACACGGTTGCTCTGATAAATACGTATAAGATAAGAACCCAGGAGATTTCGCCTGGGAAAATTGAAAAAATCGTTAGAGCTGATTACATGGACTTAGGTGCAGAGGAAACAGAAGCCATTATAATCTGCAGCTGCAAGCTGTGGAGAGACAGGATGTCAGTGCATTCTGACTATACAGTTTCGGCATTTGTCCACCTGCTGTTTTTCCATCTAAACACAAGGATCACAACAAAGTATAGCAAGAATACAGCTATAATGAGTGAGTTCATGGAGAGTCTAACCATGACGGTTGGCAGCAGGCTGGGCCGTCTGGATAGATCTGCCGCAGACGAAAGAGACCGCGTTATCATTGCGGCCGTGCTTAATAAGAAGTACTCGGACCACACGGAGCCAGTGAAAATTGAAATTCTTCTTGATCTAATCAAAGAATGCACATGCTTTTACGAGTGCACAGGAAACATTCCAGAGGGAATGGAGGGTCTTTGCGGAGTTATTGAGAAATATATCAATAGCTACATCACAAACAGAGTGAGCAAGAAAGACACAGAGTATAAGTTCTCTGCAGTAGAAAACAGTCCTCAGACAGACGAGAATATATCTGAGGAGTGCAATATTCTTAACATGCTGTATGAGATGGTGCAGATGCCCATTATAGACCCGGTTTTGTCCCAGATTAACTATATTGTGCTGCACCTGGATACAATTACTAGTGACACAACAGAGATTGATTTTACATGGATTCGCAAGCTAAATCTGAAGAGATCATTGAAAATCAATCTGAAAATGACTTTTCTGAAAAACTTGTTTGACAAGTACTTGCTGCTAGCACGCGACAACAAGCTAATTATCAAATCAGTGATGAATGACATTCAGAGAATTCAGAAGGAAAACAACCTAAAGGAGGATGAGGCAATGAAAAGGCTTTTTAAAAGGGCTGAAAGGATACTCGAAAAGAAAAAAGAGCATACAGTGGAGAGCACCACGAAAGACATACTCTTTATTCCGCAGACGCAAAATATCACTACATGGCAGAAGCCAATTAACAAAGTGAGACAAGAGATTCAGACAAACAGAGACTTTATTCTTTCACTCCTCCGGAACGAAGAGCCTTCAAATTATCTTCCAGTAAAGCCTACATATAGCACGTTCTTGGAGTACTTTACAACATACTCGCCGCTTGTGATAAAAGAGTCAATTGCTTCTATCCAGGCAAACATTGCAGCAGATAACATTGGGAGAAAAGCCATCGATGGACTTATTGTTGGAAAACACGATGAAGCCAGAACTACGACCCTCACTGTCTACACCAGGAATAAGCACGCGCTTTTCATAAATGATATTGTAACGATATTCAATAAGAATGATGGGCAGGACACACAAAGTTGTACGGGCCTGGTGATTTATGAAAAAGAAGGACAGTATGATATAATGGTGTGCACAAAAACACTGGAGATGCAGGGCAGATATTATAAAATAAGCATTCAGCCTCTTATAAATATCACGCCCAGCATGCGGGAATATGATGGCCTGATCAGGCTGCAGCAGCTGCATCTTCGGCATAAAATGCTCAATCCCGCCAAGTGCGATGAGAAAGAATCGTCTACAGCAGAGGGTCTTTCGCTTTCCCAGATGCATGCACTGGGGCGCACTGGCACCTCGCCAAATATACTCAGTGCACCATGCGCTAGAATGCTTTCTGCAGGGCATCCTTTGGTCTCTGCCTTTTATGATCAACTGAACAAAAGTCAGCAGGTGGCTGTAAGCACTGCCCTGAAGAAGAATATAACTCTGATTCAGGGGCCTCCTGGAACGGGAAAGACAAAGACTGTTTCCAGCATGATTGCATACTTCCTTCTGCAGAACTGCAGGGTTCTTGTGTGCGCTCCCAGTAATGCTGCAGTGGACATGCTTGTAGAGAGTGGGTCAATATGGAAAACCATTCCAGACTGCAAGTGGATACGCATAAGCATAAGTGGAAACAGAATATGTGATGAAGGAGATGAGGCAGTAGTAAATAAAGGTGAACTGATGGAAAACCTTCAGAACAGCCCTTCTTTGGTCCAGAGCATTAACGTGCAGACCACTCCAAGCAACTATTCTACAGACCCGAAGAATAAGCTGAAGACAGAAAAAACTAGAGAAAGTGAACACACCAGTCCAAATGTATCATACACCAGTGCTTCAAATGATAAATTTGCGTCAGTTAGGGAACCCTCTAGGAAGGAAAATAAGGATGAGATAAACCGTGCACAACTGGTATTTTGCACTCTCTCCATGGCTGGATCATCTGTTTTCAATCAGTCTCCTTTTGATGTTTTAATAATTGATGAAGCTTGCCAGGCCACAGAACCCAGCACTCTTATTCCACTTAGAACAGCCCCTACCCGGATAATTCTTGTCGGTGACCCAATGCAGCTGCCCCCAACAATTATTTCTCAGTCAAAGGACCTTTCAGTCACACTTTTCGAGAGGCTCTCAGAATCAATCACTCCCATCCTTCTGGACACTCAGTACAGAATGAACTCTATCATTTCTAAGTTTGTAAGCATGCAGTTCTATGAAAACAGATTGAGGGATGGTGTGTCTCTTGAGTCTGAGCTTCCCTTTGCGTTTATAGATGCATCTGGAACAGAAGAGACTGAAGGAAAAGACATTTTTAACAGAAAAGAGATTAATGTGATTCTGCAGTTCTCTTCTATGGCTGCAAAGGCATATGACACAGTGGGAATAATCAGTCCATACAAAGGACAGGTTGGCCAGCTGAAGAAAGTCATCAAAGGAATGGATATCTCCACCGTTGATGGGTTCCAGGGCCAAGAGAAAGACTGCATTATTATCTCCACTGTACGTAGCAAGAAAATAGGATTCTTGAATGACATTCGCAGAATGAATGTAGCTCTTACACGTGCGCGGTACACAGTAATAATAGTCGGCAGCATGTCTCTGTTACAGCAGGATCCAACATGGAAATCACTTATTAAATATGTCCAAGAGAACAACTTTGTATACAAAGCAGGAGAGGTGTACTCTATTCTTAAATCGATAAAAGATAAAAAGAATCCGCAGGCCCATCAGTAAATAAAGAATAGTTTATAGTTTTCTGTTTCTTCTATCAATCTGAACAATCCAATGTTTCTAGAACAGAAAGCTCAAGCTGCACTATTTCCTTGGAAATATCAACTGAGCTATCCTTTATCTTATCTTCAATTGCCCAGAGAAGCTCTTCAAAGCGTCTTTGCATTTAAAATATTTGCATTTCAGCTAATTAATATACGCAGAATTCTATAAATTCATTAAAATTCCCCAAAATACTAAATATAATAATTCTGTTATGGACAGTACAGAGACCACTTGCGTCTTTCTCTTAAATAAAGATATTCATTGCAATTGTTTTAAATAGAATATATTTCATAATTACAAGATTAAACAAAGTAAAGTGTGCTAGAATTCTACTAATACTATCCAGAGGTGTATCCTTCTGGGTAATAATAGTTCCAGCAACTACATACAATATAATGCCTTTATTCATACTCTTTGCACTATAAATATGCAGGCCATATACCCAGGTATACTGACGGAAACACTTCTTGCAAGTTAAAACTATGCATTTTACTGCACTATGTGTATTACTTCTAATTACAATGGCATATTCTATTTATTATCTTCTCTGTGACTCTACGAAGGAATTGATTTAAATTCTTTGAAGGGTCGGTTGAGTATCCAATATAGAGGGAATATTTATTTAAATATAATGTATTTTTGCTTTGTTGGTCTACTGTTTAGTCACTTGGATATTTCTTCTTTATTTCTAGTTATATTTAGTTTTCTATGAGCAAAACAAATATTTTCAGAATGGATAGTTATGAGGTATTTAACGAGCATGTGCGGGCACTGAAGGATTCATGTCTTCCGCCCACAACGACGTACAGAACAGTGTCCAGCGTAAATGGCCCACTTGTTATCATGGATAATGTAAAGGCTCCAAAATATTCAGAAATAGTTCATTTAACCCTTCCAGATGGAAGCAGAAGAACAGGGCAAGTTCTGGAGGTGTGCGGAAAGAAGGCCATTGTGCAGGTGTTTGAGGGAACCTCAGGAATAGATGCAAAGCACACATGTGCCGAGTTCACTGGAGAGACCATGAAAATGGCAGTGTCTGAGGACCTACTTGGAAGAACATTCAACAGCATAGGAGTGCCAATTGATGGAGGGCCAAAGATAGTGGCAGAAGACTACTTGGACATTCAGGGGCAGCCAATTAACCCGTATGCTAGAATATATCCAGAGGAGATGGTGCAGACAGGAATTTCAGCAATTGACGTGATGAGCTCAGTCGCCAGGGGACAAAAAATTCCCATATTCAGTGGAGCAGGGCTGCCGCACAATGAAGTGGCAGCGCAAATATGCAGGCAGGCAGGGCTGGTAAACAACAAAAGCACAGTTGACAAGAGCAAGGACAACTTTTCGATTGTGTTTGCTGCAATGGGTGTGAATGCTGAGACAGCAAGATTCTTCAGAAATGAGTTTGAGCAGAGCGGTGTGCTAGACCGAACAATTCTGTACCTCAACCTGGCCAATGACCCAACCATTGAGCGAATCATCACTCCAAGGTTTGCACTGACAGCTGCAGAGTATTTGGCATACACCACCGGGAAGCACGTTCTTATAATCATGACAGACATGAGCTCGTACGCAGATGCACTAAGAGAAGTAAGTGCTGCTAGAGAGGAAGTGCCTGGAAGAAGAGGATATCCAGGATACATGTACACCGACTTGTCTACGATATATGAAAGAGCTGGGCGGATAGCAGGAATAGACGGGTCTATCACCCAGATACCAATTCTCACTATGCCGAACGATGATATCACGCACCCAATACCTGACTTGACAGGATACATCACAGAGGGGCAGATATATATCGATCGAAACTTGCACAATAGGCAAATATATCCCCCTATTAACGTGCTGCCATCACTGTCTCGTCTTATGAAGTCTGCTATTGGCGAGAACATGACGCGAGATGACCACTCGGATGTTTCCAGTCAGCTGTACTCCAAATACGCAGTAGGAAAGGAAGCAATGGCAATGAAGTCAGTTGTTGGGGAGGAGTCTCTCTCTGTAGAAGACAAGCTGGTGATTGAGTTTGTGGATAACTTTGAGAAAGAGTTTATTAGCCAAAGAAAGGATGAGAACAGAACCATCAATGAGTCCCTAGACTTGGCATGGCGCCTTCTCAGAATATTCCCAAAGGAGATGCTAAACAGAATACCAGACAGTATACTTAACAAATACTACAGCATACAGACGACAGAGGACAAAAAGCAGCAGTCTGTGCAGGAAGAGGAAGAAGAGACTAGTTATTGAATGCGTGCAACCCGAACACTGAAAATAAATCACTCTAGTATTTAGTAGTCTGTTCCCTCTGCATTTTCTAGTTGTATCCCTACAGAGTGCATTGATTTATATATTCTGCAAGGCCCATAATCTGAAAGAAATAATATTCACAGATACGCTTATCCGTGCCATTCCAGTCCATACACTGATTAAATAGATTTTTATCATGCGTTAATTTGGGTATCTGCTGTGTTTTTGTTGTGCCTTTGAGAAATGAAAGTGTATGTTTTCATTCTATAATCTACATCTGGCAGAGTTTTATTTTGTGCAGGACTAAGATTTAAAGAGGCAGCATTCTATATAACCTGAATTATTCTTCTCTTATAAAGGTGTATGCGCAATAGTGCTGTGCATTCTACTAGAGTAGTTATCCATGCGATTGGGCATAGTTTAATTTAGGTTTCAGTTTTCTGTGCCTGCAATGAGGTGCTTCTAGAGTGCACAGTGTGAATAACTAGTGCATAAGCTAAAAATATGCAGTGAAATATTTTTGGGTACAGAGAAGCCCTTCAAACAGTTAGAGATGTTTTAATTATACGTTTATTAAAAAGTATGCAGTGCAGGCAAGAAGGCCGCCGTTAGAAATATTTCCTAGTGTTTGTATTAGTATTTAGTCTGGGAATTCATATTTAGCTCAACTATGCCAGCTCCCTTTGGCATAAGGTATATAAGAAAGTCGAACACATCAGAGGACTTAGCAGCAGAGCAGATGTCGCCTCGCTGAAGTATTCGTCTTTTTCCTTTTTCTGTGCACTGCCATGCACGAAGTGTTAG